GCCCCCTTTAGTATTTAGCATGATTTGCTTCCTTGTTGGAAACTCAAGATTATTTCTGTGGAGAGAGAGCTCACTGGGATGAACACAAGGCTTGTAGGTAGGAGCCCTGGGTTCTGTTCCCAACACTACATGTGATCCCCTGAACACTGCTATGAGTGACCCCTAAATACAAAGATATAAGATGGCTCTGGCCTGTCACATTGGAAAGGAAGGACATGGTAGCATGCCCCAGTGACTTCATAGATGGAGTTTGTCCCTTCATGATTTTTCATTTTCCATAGGCATCACCTGCCCTAGATGTGGGTTTCAAACACTATATTCCCTGGCTTTCAAATCTGAACATCCATTCTTTCCTTTTGGTTCCCTGAAAGCATCAGATTCCTCAATCTTATTATTGAATAGTTGTCACCAAAGTTTATGATGCTAAAATCTCAGGACTGACAAATGGAGACACTACTGGAGCCTGCTCGAGTAATTGATTAACGGGATGACAGTGATGACAGTGATGACAGTTGTCACCATTGACAAGATAAAATAATCAAGAATTTCATACAGAAAAACCATTTTGAGAGTGGGACGTGAAGGCACCAGAACCTCAGTTTACTGCTGCGGCCATAAGATTTTTCTGTTTAAAATCCCTGTTTCTGAAAGTAGTCACTAACTGGATCCCACTAAAACTAAACTTGGTATATAGACATCATCCTGGCAGAACGTTTAAAGCAGATTTTTTAAATTGGGGTGGAGGGGTTGTTTTTGTACATTTTACCCATCACAGATGCTCAGCTTTCTACTTTTCATTTTAAAGACCCATCAAATTTCTAAAGTTCCCAAAGCTCTTTCCTAATGCAGATGGCTATGAAATCATGGAACAAAGACCAGAAACCTGTGTGCTTAGTGACGTTCCCATAGATAAATACTCTCTGCCGAGTCAGGCCTTGGGAAAACAAAGTGGATTGGCTCCATCCAAGTGGAGTAAGGAACATCTTCTGTCTATGTCCAACTTTGTGTCTGAAATAGAATTTTGTAGAAAGATCCCAAGTTGAAAGGTCTGGATTCTTGTCCCTCCTTAGTCACCTACTGAATTTATATGAGCATTGAGTTGTTTTCCCGCCTCTCCAACTTCCTTCTCTCAAGCAGAAATGTTTGGGGAAGGGTTGAAGCCCTGACAAATGCAAAGAAATACACCATCCTTTTGAGCTCTAAGCTCAGAAGTGCACCTGGTTTTCCAACCTACCAGAATTTAGCATCCAGTTGAGTGTTTCTACTTTATCCCAAAGCAGTTCATTCTTTCTTTTTGTCACCTTCTTGGCAAACAACATCAACACCTTTATCTGGGAAGTACTGTCTTTTTATTTTCCTCTCCTGGTGCAAAAGTTGTTGTTGACATTCTGCAGGAGTTTGCTGCATTCCCAATCAGAAACCCTGCTCGATACTTCCATCAAAACAATTAGCCTTCATTTCAGTTTCACTCAGGGAGACCTGCAGTGAGTGAACAGGATAAATTATAGATGCATCTGTCCAAATGCACTTGTTCATTCATGCATAGATTTGAGGAAATTTCATTCTTCTCAGTTCAAACGCCATCACTTAAAAATCCGTACTTACAAATATAATTGAGTCTTTTTATCACTCTGTTATTACACTCCCATACTCACACATTCCATCTGTGATGTGAGGCATTTGAAGTTGATTTGGGAATTTCTTCTTTGGGTATCCATTTGATTTGGACATCCATCCCTTCATCCTCATAAAATCTTTTGTCTTTGTAAATCATTAGGGAATGATAGCTATTTAGCCTCAAATAACACAATATGATTTGTTTTCCCTAAAAAATTTTTTTTGTGGTCCCTACATTTAATTTTATTGTCAAAGACACTTTCTATGCTCAGGACCCTTAGGGGCTTTTTAAGCAAAGCCAAGTGAACTTCAAATAAACCCTGTAGAATTGTTCTCTCTCTGCTCCAGATAGGTCGTTAACAGTTTACTTTGTTTCATAGTTGCTTTAATGGGAAGTTAGAGGAAATATCAGGCATGTTATATAATACAACAAAGGAGTTCATAAGATTTGCTTTAAATACTTTAGGTCAAATGACTCTTTTAAATGTATCTGGGAAGGTATTGGATGGATGTGTTCACAAAATCCACAAGACCCAGGGCTTCCACAAAACCTAAAGTGTACCCATACACAATTGGGCATTCCCCCATCCCACCCTTTTAATTCATCAGCACTGAACAAAGGCAATAAAATGTCAGCATGGGAGGAAAGCTTAGACACTCAGCGGTGGAGTGGGTGCTTATAATAGGCTAAAAGAGAAGGATTTCAAGGCTGTTCACCTGAACAGGCTTTCCAAGAGTCAAAAAATCTTTTGCACCCAAAGGTTTTTGTTGGTTTTGTGGGGGGTGGGGAGAGAGGGAGGTTTTGGTTTGCTTATTTTGGGGTCTGTTGTTGTTGTTGTTATGCCTGACAGAGGCTGCTACTGATTTAACCTACTAGTTTTGTTTTGTTCTCTGAGTGCTCAGAATAATGGAAGAGTAGACACACTCCATAGGAAGTGTGCCCTACTCCCTATCAAATGCCACACCACCCGTGTTATGATAATCAAATATCTGGCAACACAGGATATGTGTGCGGTGGGTTGCAGCGACTTCCAGGAAAGAAATATAAATCGAAGTCTCAGGCCCTGGAAAAGCTTATCAAAGGCAGAGTTCCTTGGGAAGACGTTCTGGCACCTTCCAGAAGCTCTAAAGACAAACAGAAAGGGACCCCGAACATAAAATCTGCCCTTTTGTTCTCTTTCTTTTTCTCTATTAGAAAGACACTGAAGCATGTACAGTGTCTGCCCTAAATTACTCCACTGTCCTGACTCCTCTTGCTTTTGAAAAACCACATTGCTTTCCTCTAATCCTAGAGAGCAAAGACAAGGAGGAGGAAGGCCTGGAGGCCCGGCACAGCACTGATACCGCAGAAGTCTTATAAATCAGCTGAAAATCAATACATTCTATACGGTACTTTCTCCTTTGCAACCAGACCGCCAGGGGACAGAACTAATGCTTTTTCCCTACCCCACCCCCATTTTTCTGTCATAAAAAAAAGAAAGAAAGAAAAAAAGAAATTCTCTTAGGGAGGAATGGGCAATCAAAGTTGCTGAGTAAGTATTTCAACAATCTAATTTTATTACTTTACAATTGACATACCTTCCCTCTGGAAATGTTTGCAATTAATTAATTAGCAGTAATCTTCCCCAAGGGACAAATTTAATGAATTCTCTCCTATTCTTACTTTTCAGGGGGGGAAATATGCTTAGATGTCTCCAAGCTGTAAATGTGTGGATGGCTCCAAAGTGCATTTTGAAAAATCAAGGGATCTATTACATCGGATTTTTATCACTGAATCAATCTGGCGATAACTATCGTTCTTTTTCTAACTAGGAATTTCCCGGCTTGAACGCAAGGAAATGACACTCTTCAGCCAAGAAGCCTGGCTGGATGTGTTCCTATTTGGAATGGAGCTCTTCGAGTTAATTTCTCCAGCCGAGAGGGGAGACTGTGGTTTACAGTTTCTTTTCTTTTCTGCAGAATCTGTGAAGAAAAAGGGGAAAAAAGGAGCAGAGCTACAAAAAGAGATGGAAGGTTTCAGGGTCTACCAAGCTCTGCTCTGCAAGGTATCAAGGAGCAATCTTGTGACCAGGCATCTTGGGGCATCCCAGACCCTTCCAGATCCCTGGGCATCTTCCTGGTCTTCCAAGAATTCAGGGTACCCACGGCTGAGCCAGGGCTTTCTTGCATTTCAACTGGGGGGGGGGGGGGGGGGGAACTGGGCCCTTGGAAGAACTTCCTTGATATCTAAAGGGAAGATGGAGCTTTTGTGAACCCTCAACCATGAGTAATTTAAAAAAAAAAAAGAGGGGGGCTTTCTGTTGTGCAAATCCGAAAGCCACATTCTACTCTCATCCCAGCAGCATCATCGGAGACCTCCCCTCACCAATCCAGTCCACTCCCGAGGTCCTAAGGGACAGTAGCACCAGGCCTGGAGCTCGTGACTTCGGGTATGCTGAGTCTGCAATGCTCCCAGACAGACTGCGAGGGCTACCGCCCCTCCCTGGTCCCCCCACCACCACCACCACCCCGTGAGCTCCTCCGCCTATCTGTGCCTTTTTGAGGACCCCTGTGATGGACGGCGCTGGTCACACCCTTGGGCCTGGCCGGGTGTCCGCGCGGATTGCAAGGAACCGGCCGCCCTCCCGGCACTGAACCGCGGCTCGCCAGCGCCACCCCCCAGCTGAGCGCCGCGGCTGCAGCTCGGCCCCGCACCTTCCTCCCGCTCCCTGGCTCGGGGTTGGACTGCGCGGGGCAGTGCGCCCCCAGAGTCTTCGAGGAGTGCCTAGAGGTGGGCCGGGGGTGTTGGAGGGGATGCTCCCCCCAGCGTCCGGAGATGCCAAGGGTCAGCGCTTTTCTAGGCCGACTCCCAGGAGACCTGAAATTTGGCCTCCGAGGGGCGCTCTTGGGTGTCCTCGAGGGCACGGCCCAGGCAGGGCAGCCTCCAGCTCACCGTCCGGGCCAAGGACGGAGTTTGGACAGCGTGTTCTAACGAGCTTCCTGGGGAGACTGGGGGCAGGAAGCCAGGTCCCCGAGCGCAAAGTCGGGAGGGCCAGCGGGCTCCAGCGACACCCCAAGAAGCGCGGGGCTCGCGGCGAGAAGTAACTTTGGTGGGGCTGCGGGCGGGGGCGCGGGCCGTAGCCGTCTCCCCCGAGCCCCCGCGCCTCCACCTGCCGCGTCTCACCTCCCTCCCCTCCCCCGCGCGCCTGTTCTCCCAGGCTCCGCGTCTCCATCCACTCCCGCCTCCTGCTCCCGCTTGCCTTCTCCCCCACTTTACTCCTCCTTTTTTTCCCCCCCTCTCTCTCTCTTTCTCTCCCGTCTCTTCTTTTGTATTCTCTCTTCCCTGGTCTCCCGGCGGGCTTCCGCTGGGGAGGCGGTAAGCGAGCAGCGCCCGGGGCCTGAGCGGCGGAGATGGGGGGGTCGGGGGGAGGCGTTTCTTCAAATTAACTCCGGGGTAATTTGGGGAGGTGTTGCCTGTGCGCGCGCGCGAGAGAGAGTGCTTCAGACGGGAAGGGGTAGCATCCATCGCCGAAGCGGCGAGGGTCAGGGTCTTCTTGGACGTGCCTCGCCCGCTGCACAAACCTCCCGGAGCAAGTGTGAGCGCGGGGGAGAGGGCGCGAGCGCGCACGGGCTGGTTGTGCTTGGCACGCTTGGAGGCCCGGGGCCCCCGGGGGCCCGGGGACCCGCCTGGCGGCCCGGGATTACCGTGACGTCACATCGAGGCTCTGGCCACCTTGGACTGGGACACCTTGGGAGCTGCACAGCGCCGCGCCGCGCCTCACCTGGCCCCGCCACCGCGCGCCTTTGGGGACCTGTACCCTCTCCCTTCCCCCTGCCCATCCATGGGCCCTTCCGTCTTCTGGACCACGCGAGCCGCAGAGGCATCTTGTGGAGCGCAGAGCTCGGCGGCCGGGCTACCCTGGCCTCTGCCTCCCTTCGCGCCCAGCGCGCGGAGGCTCGGCCGCTGGGCACCCGCCGTGGTGTAAGGAACCGAGGCGGCGCACGACTGGAGGTGCAGATCCTGGGGGGCGCGAGAAGAGGAAAGCAGGCCAGGGACAGACACCATGTCCTTCCCGCACTTTGGACACCCGTACGGCAGCGCTTCCCAGGTAAGTGGCTCCTGGAAGCGGGAGCAGGCTGGGTGCAGGGGGTGCCCGTGCAAGAAAGAGCCTGTCCCGGAGCTCCCTCCCTCCATGGAGTGCCGAGAGAGAGAGAGAGAGGGAGAGAGAGAGAGAGAGAGAGAGAGAGAGAGAGAGAGAGAGAGAGAGAGAGAGAGATGCCACCGAGCCCTGTCACTCCCCCTATCTGGCTCTGGCTAAAAGCTCGGGCTCTAGAAAATCGTGTGGCCTGAAACTTGGGCGCTCCTTCCGTGGGCTCAGAGAGGTGGGTGGGGTCTAGAGGAGGTTTCTGAGAGGCCTCCTCGTCCGTTGCCCTCCAAAGGGGCCGGGGAAGACACCCCTAGTTCAGAGCGCTGTGCATCACCCCCCATCCAGGCAGCTGCCCTGTTTCCCTGCAGTTCATGTGTTAACCTCTGCTCTTTCCCCGCCCCCTTCCCTTCCTTAGGGTGATGGGAGCTGGTTTTTGGTGTCTTCGATTTTCCAGAGTGGGGAGGGTGTGTTGTGGAAGGGGACAGGGGGCTCCTGGGGGGAAATTCTAGGGATCCTCATTCCTGTTCTTTAATTGGATCCCTCCCCTCCAGGGCAGAGGAGAGACCAGCCTGACCTTTGGCCCCTGCTCTGTGGTCTTGGACAAGTCCACTCTCTTCTGCTCTCACTCTTTAGCAACAACATGGGAGTTAGAGATGGTGAAGAAGGTCTCTACGGCCTTGGAAATAGGCCCCTGGGGTGGGGCAGGGAGTGGCGAAAAAATCCGCCTACTGCCATTCGGTTTCTCAAAGCTGTCCCACCACCCACCCACCACCCGTCGCCCCGGGGACTCTGCTGCCTTGGCAACCCCGTGGATCACCTATGGGGCAGTTTGCATAAGTGGCATCAGCGGATAATTCCTGCCCCAGGTCTCAGCACACGGGTGACATTTAGCTCCTGTGGACCGGGGAGACAATCCTCCTGAGCCCCCGGGTCCCTGAACTTCTCCACTCGCTCTCTCGCCCTCCTTCCCCGCCCCCCCGTAGTTTCTGATGTCTGCAAGTTCCGGCGCCACTTGCTGCGACACGGCCCCGCGTTCCGTCCCCGACGTAGCTGCAGGCTCCGCGCCGGCGGCTGCGCTCTGCTGCGCCCCGTATGAGAACCGGCTGCTAGGCAGTGCGCGGCCCGAGCTGGGAGCGGCCTTGGGCATCTACGGAGCCCCCTACGCGGCCGCAGCCGCCGCCCAGAGCTACCCCGGCTACCTGCCCTACACCTCCGAGGCACCCGCGCTGTACGGAGCGTTGGTGAGTAAAGGCGCGCTGGGGTAATGGGGAAGGGTGGAACTCAGTCTCCCCAGAACCACAGCAGGGGGTAAGATTCATCTCCAGAGGAAAATAGGAGGAAGGAAGCCCAACTCCAAGGAAATGACCAGATTGAGTCTAATGAGGGGAGAGTGGGGGAGGGATCACAGTGTCTCACTGTTTGTTAAAATGCTGTTTAGTAAACATTTGTGTCTCTATTCATCCCGTGAGGTAAGCAAGCCATTACCTTGTGCATGATGCAGAAGAAAAAAGTAGGGAACAGAGAGTTTAACCTCCAAAGCCAAAGACTCAGATGCAGAGAGATCAGGGAGGAGAGGAGGAAGGCTTGGAAGTGCATTGTTGGTGTGTGTGTGTGGGGGGGGGGGGGGGAGGGGGAGGGTGTGATCCCAGGGGGTAACCCTGTTAAGGGACTGGTGCTTTTTCAACACCAATTCTGTTAAGAGTTCTTCCTCAATAACCTGTCAGTTTTATTGTTATCCCTTTTTTTCCCAGGAGGAAACCAAGGCAGAGAGTACCTCAACTGTGCCCAAGATCACACAGTTGGTCTTGGGCTTTGAACAGATTCAACTCCACAGCCCAACTTCTGCATCACTCACCTTCTCCTCCAATGGAGATCTGAATTCTTCTTCTTTTTTTTTTTTTTTAACCTCTCCAGAATCCACAGTACGAATTCAAGGAAACTGCCGGGAACTTTACTCCAGGCCTGGCACAGGCAGGAGCTTACTACTCCTATGAGCCTACTCTGGGGCAGTACCAATATGACCGGTAAGGAGTGTTAGCATGGAAGGTTCTTACCCCCCATCCCAGCTTGGGCAGAGTGGGGCAATCGGGGCCGAGCACTGGAGGAGGGAGTACCTGAGGAGGTGGGGAGGGAAAAGGAACCAAATCTCACTTCCAGACTGTCAGTGGCTTGTGCTGCAGATTCCAGCTCCTAGGTCAGAGAGCAAAGACTCACGGGTCCACCGTCCCTCCCCCATTCCCACCCCATGCACCCCAGGTACGGAGCTGTGGAATTGAGCAGCTCAGGCCGCAGGAAGAACGCCACGCGCGAGACCACCAGCACGCTCAAGGCCTGGCTCAACGAGCACCGCAAGAACCCCTACCCCACCAAGGGCGAGAAGATCATGCTGGCCATCATCACCAAGATGACCCTCACCCAGGTGTCCACCTGGTTCGCCAACGCGCGCCGGCGCCTCAAGAAGGAGAACAAGATGACCTGGGCACCCAAGAACAAAGGCGGAGAGGACAGGAAGGCGGAGGGTGGGGCAGAGGAGTCGCTGAGCTGCCTAAATGGTGACTCCAAAGGTACCAAAAATGTTTCCCATCCCACCTTAAGGGACACCTGGCTGGCTGGTGGTTTGGTTCAATTTTTTGAAGCCACCCTGTGGATTCCCTTTTCCAGAAGCTGCTTGCTTATTCTCATTCATTTTGTTCAAGGACCCTGCTTGGATGCGCCCACCTGCCCACACCCGCTTATCCTGACTCTTACTTCCCCATCACCTGCTTGGTTCCCTCTGCCTCTAATCCCTACCAAAACCAGCTGCTTCTCCACTGGAAAGTGCAACTCCCCCACCAACCCCCCACCCATCCACCCACAAAAATCTTCCCAGGCCCTCTAAATCGACCCAGCATCCAACTATTCACTACCAAGTCCAGCCCAATTTACTTTCTTTGTCAAATTAGGCGCTGGGGAAATATAGGACACACTGTCCCTTCCAAGAATGTCAGGCTCATTCAAAAGTGCTCCACCATTGCTCTTTTGCCTAAATATCCCTAACCTGTTTCTAATTGAAGGTGGGCACCTCGTTGGTTCTTAGTAAATATTTGCTACATTAAATAATGCACACCAGCCACCTGTCAGATCGGGGATTTTAAAAACTTTTTTTTTTCCCTTTTGAAAAATTGACATCTGACTTCGTGTGGGGTGTTTCCAAGGCCTGACGGTAGCTGGAGAGAAGGAATCTTGGCAAAAAGATGTGGGTAGGGCTAAGGGCAGCAAGGCCTGGGGACACGTGTGGACGGTGTAGCCAGTCCAGTGAATTACCCGTGCAGAGTGATGGCCCGGCGCTTCTTGCTAAAAGCTTCTCAGGGAGGGGCACGCCCATACATTTCCCCTGGGGCGCGGGGCTTTTCTCACTTGCTCCGGGTTTCCTGCAGATGTGACTGCCCGCCAAGAGGCTCGAGGGCTCCGGCTGAGTGACCTGGAAGACCTGGAGGAAGAGGAGGAAGAGGAGGACGCGGAAGAAGAGGAGGCAGTGGCCGCAGCCACGAACAGGCTGGCCGCGTTCCACAAGGACACGCAGACCCTGCTAGCACCCTGCGCCGCCGCTCCAGAGGACGCGCTGAAGCGCAGGGCGTGCGTCTTGGCGGCGCCCCATTTCTCCTGCAATGAGCCCCGCGGGTCGGGAGAAGCAGACTTCCTCCAGGCCGAGCCCGAGGGCCCCACGTTGACAGTGCACTACGCACCCAGCCCCAAACCCCGCATCTGGTCTCTGGCGCGCACTGCAGCCGCCAGCGCCTTGGAAGGTGCCCCCAGCCCGCCTATGCCGCGCAGCCCTGAATGCCGCCGTCTGATGCCCAGAGAGCTGCCAGGCTTGGGCACCAGGCCGGCGATCTCCAGAGAGTCCGCGTGCGAAGAGCCTCCCCGAGTAGCCAAAGCCTTTGGAATGGCCACGTTTGCGCTGCAGCGGCCGCCGCAGAACTGTCCGCTGCCTTGCGCGCGGTGGGGGAACCCAGCAGTGCCATGCCAGTACCCCTCCTCCGGAGCTGAAGGTAGTGGGCCCCTAGCGCCGCGCAGCCGTTCCTATCCCAAATGCATCTGCCCCCACCGTGGTGCCGCCGCCGCACTAACCGGGGCATCTGGTCCGAGCTGTCTCAGGTCCTGGGCCAAGGTCATCCCATGGCACTCCTAGGAAAGGAAGCTGAGGAGAAAACTTCCCGTGCCCCCTTGTTTTAAAGCCAAACACCAGAGGCCCAAGCCAGAAAGCTAGGACAGGAAGAAGAGCATTCGCCTTGCCAGCAGTTGACTTCACAAAAGTTCTCCTGAGCCTTGCCAGGAGGAAGCAACTAAGCACAGCCAGGAGTAGTCCAAAACCAAAAACAAACAACAAAAAGCTAATTGCAGTAATTTACTCGGAGTGAGAAAGTTACCTAGAACCCCCGCTTAGGTTGTCTTTGTCAAAGAACCAACTGCCTAGATCTTGGCCCTCTTGTCCAGTGCTCTCCCCAAAGTGCCTGGGAGATACCAAAATGACCTTCACACACACACACACACACACACACACACACACACACACACACACACACAACCTTTCCCCTGGCTCCCCAGTTATGTAAGTATGGGGTGGGGTGGGGTGGGGTGGAGTGATAGCTCAACGGGAAAGGCACTTGCCTGGCTGCTAAACAGGATTCTAGACTTGGACCCACCCACCCTGCAGTTGGTTTGAGTAGATTCTCTCAGCCCTTTCTCTTTCCTCAGTGGGGCTAGCGCTGTCCTCACAGAGCAGATTGGAACTGCCCCTCCTTGTGCCCTGCCCTGGTGAGTCTCTGCTGGTACCCAGTGGAAGAGGATTCTCCCCGCCAGCCCCCACCAAAGGAATATTCCCCAAGCATCAGGCCACCTCCAGCCGATTACTGTGAGAGTCTGCTCATTTCCCCAGGATCAGCCACCGGTTTTGAAAATTGGGTTACACTGTAATTTGAAGTTCCACATAATCGGTCCAAGTGTTACCTCAGGCAAGCAAATTGCCTCTAGACCTTCAGAGGAGACCCGGCTGACCCCGGTTTCCTCTGCATCACCTCCTGGCCGACCTTCGGGTTTTAATCAACCTTTCCTCTCTCAGCAGGTTAGCGCCATGGCTGCGATTTGCAGGGGGAATCTTGGACATGAGCCCTACTTTCCGAACTCACCTCCACGCTAAGAATTTGGGGACTTCACCAAGGATAGGGACTCTCACTTCGCCAAGAGACAGAGACACAGAATCCCTCCTCCCAGCCCTTCTTGCACGCTGAGCTGGAATCCTGAGCTCCAGGGAGGAGGATGCCTGGGGGAGTGGGGGCGGAGGGAGGAGGAGAAGGCTTAGGGGTCTGCCCCTCCATACACACCTCCTGGACCAGTCTACTCTTGATTCTGGGTCCAAAGCTGCTCCCTCTCCACCTGCTCACTCCCTCACCCCTCACTTTGTAACTTCAGTGCAGACCACAAGTATCTTCTCCCTTTCCAGTCCCTCCTTGTGTCCTTAAAAATATTCTAAATGAACCTAAGCTGTGTGAGCTGTCTGTGTGTTGCCCTGTGTGGAGTCAAAAGGTAAACAGATACAGTCTGGGGTGCTAGGGATTCTGGGACCCCAACAGCAAGACTTGCAGACTCCCCCCCCCCACCCCCGCCATCATCATAGCACAGAAAGAAATCGGCCCAGCCTGGTGTATGTCTGTTGTCCGTGCTAAGGGGTAAATGGGAGGACATTTTTTTTTTTTTTTGCTGTTTTGGGTCACACCCAGTGATGCACAGGGGTTACTCCTGGCTCTTCACTCAGGAATTCCTCCTGGCGGTGCTCGGGGGACCATATGGGATGCTGGGAATCGAACCCGGGTCGGTCGCGTGCAAGGCAAACGCCCTACCCGCTGTGCTATTCCTCCAGCCCCAAGGAGGACATTTTAAGTTGGGGTATCAAATAGGGAGCAAGCTGTCAGCTATTTGCCTGGAAACCGCCTTTGTTTCCGGGTTCATACTTGGGTTTTAAATTTATTGGGGAAATAGGGTGGGGATGCTCTGGTGGCATATGATAAACCGTTCCCAAAGGATAGCTGTGGGGTCCCTAGGAAGGGAGAAGGTGCGTGGTTTCTGGTTTCATGAGGTGTTTGCTTACTCCTGGCTTGTTCCTGGGCTGTCAGCAGGGTACACCGTGTAGACTGTGAGGTCTGGGGGGAGAGCTTGAGAGATTCTGCTCTGCATCTCAGGGCTGGTGGCCTTGACTTTTGCCAGAAGGGAAAGAGGAAGATGAGCCTCTGATCTGCGTGGGGGTGCATGGGGGTGAGGAGACTGCAAGCCCAGGAGAAAGGACCCAGGTCCTGAGGGCTGAGTACCAGTGAAGGCCTTCTAGTGGGGCCAGCAAACTGATCTCTGAGTTCTGGAGCTGGAAGAACTGGGCAGTAGTTGCCCAGTCTGGTGGGTGGGTGGGGGGCAGATTCTAAGACCCTTGAGGCTGCAGAAGGAAAAGTGAGAAACCAACAGCTCAGCTTGGTCCTTCCCAGCACCCTTGGCCTGGGGCTGTAGAGATCAACCCTATAGTCACCCCAAACCAATTCCTTGGAGGAGGAAACTGAGGCTGGGGGTGGCCAGCTGGAGGCAGGGGACTGGTTCAAGGTTACACAGAATCAAGGGGGTAGACAGACCCCAACTTTGCACTCTGATCCTCCTCCCTATTTGTTTTGCCTCTGGGCAACAGCTGCTCCTACCCAGCAAAGTCCCCTGGGAACCCCCAGTAGCCCTCACTGACCCGAGGCTTAGGGTCCGGGAAATTAAACTACCAAAAGATAAACATTATTTCCAGTCGGCTTTGGGGGATTAAAGCTTGTAATAAAGAGCATTCGCGGAGTTTTTTTTTTTTTTTCAAGCCACTCTCTGTCCCACCCTGCCTTCTCCTGGGGGACCAGGTGGACCCCTCTGCAGGTTGCTCCTGGGGTCTTGAGGTGGGAGAGGGGCTAGCCATTGGGGTGGGTGGGGGTTTAAATCGCATTGCCACAACATTGTTAAAAGCACCTGGAGATGGGAAACTGAGGACCAGAGGGACCTGGCCAAACCCAAGGTCACGTGCCCCAGGCAGGACTGGGATCCAGAGAGAAGAGGATGTGGAAGGGGAGGGAAGTCTAGTGGTCAAACATTTTATAGCTATGGGGAGCCTTGGAGAAGGAGGCCCCCATGCCATGGCCTGCCATACCACCCAAACCTCAGGAAGCTGGGTGTCCATCTCCTGTCAGAGCAGGAGTCTCCAGGTCAGAGTGGACCCATAAAAGCCAGCCTAACTGGACAGAGACAGGGCAATGGTGGAGGACAGGAAAGAATATCCTGGAATCTCAGAATGGGCTTTATCATCTGAATTCCAGTCCCACCAGAATTCCCTGTGGCTGTGATGTACCCCTGGCCCTCTGTGTTTCCCCAGCTTTGGGTATCCCTCCGGGTGCTGCTGTCTGCTGCAGAGGGGATACTGAGCCTGCAAAAGGCACATCTGAGCCTGCCACTGCCCTAGCCTGGGCCCCAGTAGCAGTCTGTCCCCACCACCTCAGCCCCCACCGGGCGCTTCCTGCAAATCTCCCGATATAATCTCTCCGAATCATATTTTGAATACTATTTTGATTAAATGCCAGCGTGAGGGGGAGGGCCACTGCAGCTGAGCCGGCTGGTGCCAGACCACAGCCGGACCACGGACTCAGCTACAGGAGTGTTAATAGAAGCTGCTCAAGTGCCCTGTTTTCCTAGCAGGGCAGCAGGGGTGGGAGCTGAACCCCAGAGAATGGGCTCCAGCCTTTGTCTTCTTTATTGGCTCCTTGTCCACCAGGGGTCGCTGCAGGGGCATTGACTGCTAAGTGATCTCTGATGGTGCAGGGTTCTGGGTTCCTGTGACGCTGCTGAGGAGATGAGTTGCTGGAGGCCTTACCATATGGAGTGCTGTGTCCTTTAAATGCACGAACTCACTTCTCTCTCATAGCTGTCCCCGTAGCACTGTGTTACACAGACAGACTCCTGTGAAGTGAATGAGGGATGGGGGCTCAGAGACTGGAAGTAATTCGGCTCTCCAGCGGGCGTGGAGTATGGCTCATTTTTTTAATCACTCAACTCTCCAGTTAATGCATTATATTAAGAATCTCCTCCCCCCCCCCCCTCCGTCCCCCCACCCATGAATAAGAAACTATGTTTCGGAGAATCTAATATCTTTTGCCTTTGGAATATCAGCATGCCCTCTTTCCTTTTCAGAAGAAAATCTGCCTTGGGGGGACAGGGGGCTCCAAAGTCCCATTCTGGTGCCTCTTGAACCTATCTCTGCCTTTCTGACATGCCCAAACATCCATGGGACAGACTACCTGTTCTCACCCTGGCCCCTGTGGCGTGTGATTAGCACAATGTGTCCCACAGGTCTATGATCAAATCAACACGCAAGTGAAGCATTGTAGCATTGTTGCACTGTCCTCCTGTTGTTCATCGATTTTTCTCAAGTGGGCACCAGTAACATCTCCATTGTGAGACTTGTTGTTACTGGTTTTGGCAGATCGAATACACCACGGGGAGCTTGCCAGGCTCTGTCATGCAGGTGGGATACTCTCGGTAGCTTCCCGGGCTCTCTGAGAGGGATGGAGGAATCGAACCCGAGTCGGCTGTGTGCAAGGCAAATGCCCTACCTGATTACACTGAATGAATGGTTCTGGAGACCTGCAGTTGTAAGAAGCAACCGTGATGGTCTGCTGGTCCTCTAGCCTGAAGTAGTGATGTTGGCACCACAGATTGCCAGACCTTAAGCTTGGCATAGTGGTTTTAGACACCTGCTGGCAGGGCATGGGGAGTGGGACAGAAGAGATCATCCCCTGGTGACATTTCTTCTGGGCTTTCATCTGAAATGCATACTCAATCTCCTCCTCTGGGTCATCTCTTCCAAGTCATCTTGCAGCTCAAAGGCTCTCCATTATGGGGAGAGAGAGAGAGAGAGAGAGAGAGAGAGAGAGAGAGAGAGAGAGAGAGAGAGAGAGAGAGAGAGAGACAGAGAGAGAGAGAGAGAGGCAAACTGAGACTCAGCTCTCCAGGCTGCTGGAAGATGATTCAGGATAGTCAGGGATGGCTTCATGGTAGGAATCCTTTGACTCTCAGCTTGGAAGTGAATTCTGTCCCCAAACACAAGCAGGCAGCCTAGGATCCCTGACATCTGAGGGAAGAGAAGACCAAACAGGAAAGACTAAATCCGCTGCAAATCAAAGATGTGACAGGGAAGGGCTTTCAGAGATGCCTGACAGCCAGTGGCAGCCATGCCGGTAGAGAGTTCTTTCTTTTCTGAGCCAGTTCTTTCTCCAAGAAACTTCTGAAAGGTGTCTCTTGAGCCTCCCACTCTTGTTCTTCTCCGACTCTTTTCTTCTCCTTCCCTGTCTTCTCTTCCCTGTCCCCTCAGTAGGACTTCCTGTTGCCCCTACGTTAGGAGCAGAGTAAGAACAGATCTTAGTTGGGTATTTCCCAGTTATGGAACACTCTGACCCCTCCTTGGTAGATTTCTTCAGGAAATGTTACGTGAAGACTGAGAAGAAACAGTTAACTTGCAATCTCAAGCAAGTTACCCGGTGTCTCCGAAACTCAGTGTTCCCCTGGCAGTTTGCTGTTGTACCGTGGTATGACTTTTGTTATGTCTCTGATTCTCTCACTTAGCTGCCACATGGACAAAGATTTAATTAAGTGTTATTTGGATTTTGCTCACTGGGCACCTAATCCCTGATTATGGCCCAAAGCCAAGAGTTAAGAAAGGTTAAAGATAAGGTAGGATCAAATGAAGGCTCCACCTCTTCAATCACAGGATTAAAAAGTAAAAAAAGTAAAGGCCCTCCCGTTGATCATCGATTTGCTCGAGCGGGCCCAGTAACGTCTCCATTGGAGATTTTGTTGTTACTGTGTCTGGCATATCGAATACTCTCGGTAGCTTGCCGGGCTCTCCGAGAGGGGCGGAGGAATCGAACTCGGGTCGGCCATGTTGGCTGCGTGCAAGGTAAACGCCCTACCCGTTGTGCTATCTCTAAGAGGCAATAATTTGGGTTATTCTTGAATTACAATGCCATGACTGACTCACATTCCCAGTGGGGCAGAGTCTATTCTGGCCAGTTAATCGTTAGTGATGTAAATGGTAGTTATTACTTTTGATACCAGAATCGGATGCCTTCCCTCATTGCCTGGGATTGCCTTCAAATTTTGAATTGACTTATTTTAAAATTTGAGTGAACTTGCCTTAGA